AAAGATCTTTGCCTCAGGCAGACTCTTCTTAGGGACCAGGATGTGGAAGATCCAGAAAGAAGGCAGTGTGCACTCCAGCAAGGGCGCAGTCTTTGTCTGCGGGAGGTGGAGGTTAAATGATGGGACAAATCGATCAGAGTGGAGTCCTTGGGAAGGGCTAGTTACTGACTCGAAATTGTTTTCTGTTGTTCACTTAAAATCTGCTGCAGCATTATCTAATGTCTACCTGTTAACTTTGTTCCATTTTGAAATTTAAAACTTTAAAAATTAACCACTGTTTCAAGTTGGGCATTAAATAAGGAAGACTGAAGAAAATGGATGTGTTTGAACTACGAGGGCGGCAAAGAAGATTGAAAGTACCGTGGACTGCCAAAGAACACACAGCTCTGTCTTGGAAGAAGTACAGGCTGAATGCTCCTTCGAGACAAGGACGGTTAAGACTTCATCTTCCATACCTTGGCCATGTGGTCAGGAGAAACCAGTCCTGAAGAAGGACATCGTGCTCACTGAAGTGGACGTGCAGCAGAGAAAGCCCTCAAGGAGGTGGACTGACCCAGGGCTGCCACCATGGACTCCAGCACCACAACACTGTGAGGATGGTGCAGCACCAGGCAGTGCTTCATTCTCTTGTGTACAGAGCTGTCATGTGTCGGAACTGACTCACGTGGGCACCTAACAACAGCTGCCTTAAGCAGCACGACTGAAAGGCCAGACATCCGAGTTGGAGGTCACCCACTCTTGATGCCTGGCAGACGCAAACAAAGGCTTAATGGATAAAACGCACCTTCTGAGTGGCTTCTTTTTTCTTTTTATCCTCTTTCTTCCTTTTCTTGTCTTCCATTAACTGTTCTTCCCTTTCTTGCTCCTTCTCTCTGTAAGAGTAATTCACACCAGCAGGTTATACATCTATATGCACCGTCCACTTTTATAGCAAATCCAGTGCTTACAAAACAGCAAGCAAGGCCGCCTTTCTGCTCTGTGCCCAGGCGGAGCCTCGTCTTTTGGCTTACACTGAAAGGATGCATAAAAACCACCACAAATTCCACTGCCACTGGGGATGCCAAGTCACCGTGGCCCTCTAAGGACAAGAGGCGCTGTCCCATCCCATAGGGCTTCTAAGGCTGTAGTCTTTATGGAAGCAGGTGCAGAGTGGCTGGTGGATTTGAACTAGCCTTTTGGTTTGCAACCTAGCACTTCAACCACTGTGCCACCAGAGTTTCTCACCACAAATTACGTAAGTTGGTTACTTTTGTGCAAAACATGACAGAAGTTTGGCTTCAAAGGAGCCCATTAAAATGAGCTTTTTAAAAAACCTCTCTTCCTAAAGGAGCACAGACACAGAATGCATGCATTTCTATTCAATGAAAGACCTGGACTTGAATATATGACATCTATTTTGTTTCTGGCAATTTCCTCACAAATAGTGCAGACTACCTTAATTCAGTAATGGTACATAAGCACTGATCACACTTTAGGTGTTTTCCTGTGACACCTTTGGAGTGGTAAATTGAACATAAAACCGCCTCTCCATTCCAGAGCCCACAGTCCCTCGCCGTTATTAATACTATCTGTTTTGCATAGTTTCTACTTGTGTCTTAGGCAGGCCTATGTATGGCGTGTCCTACAAATCAGCGCATTCCCTCGTGTATGACTCTCCATTGCACCCACATGAAAATAAATGTAAGATGACTGGGCCCTCCCACCCCTCAATTAGAATAAAATGACATACAAGACACATTCCAGGTTAAAGAAATTTGGATACATTTTTCACATCTTGACAATTAGCTCTGAAGTATAGCATTTATTCTAGTTCTGCCAGGCTTCCGTGCTCTGTCTCAACTAGGAAGACACATAAACAGTTACTGGTATAGCTGCTCAGCTCCAGACAGGAACCCCCAGGTGTGAGGCTGGAAAAGAGACCCAGATCTAGCTCCCAGTTCCTCAAAGAGCAACCCACAGACCCAGCTCAGATGGCTCGGGCTGGTTTGAGATGATGTCATACACTGGGTTCTCCCAGAGAGCACCTGGCTCGGGCTCGGGCAAAAGGAAGCCCCTGGAAAGAAGGACGGGAGGTAAGCAACAGAACAGGAGCCAGCAGGGCCTTTTCCCTCCAGCGCGCAAGAACCTGGGGTCTGACTGACATCCCAAAGGCAATGTACACGAAGACTCGAAGAACCAACCAGAGTAGAACGCTTCTTAGATTTTCTTAGGTCTGATGCGCAATTTTCTTTCCAGCATGTCACCTCGTCTACGTGTGAAGCTCTTGGCCAAACCTCAGTTGCTGCAGCAAGTGATTTTTAAAACATGGATGTATGAAGGTTGGCAAGAGAGATTCTGGCACCTAAGGCAGGCTGGTCTCAGGTCCTATTACATCTGGAGCCCAGAACCTCTTGCAAGTGGATGGGGAGAGGAGCTCCGTGGGCCCAAGTTACTGCAACTGGGTTTCTCAATAATGACACCGATTCTAACAGAGGAGCAGGTGTGGTGCTTTAAAGAGCAAGGGTTGTGCTTTTCTACATATCTTAAACTCAAGCCAAACTCACTGCCATCACGTCGATGCTGACTCAGTGACCCTAGAGGGCAGGGCGGAACTGCGCCTGTGGGTGTCCAGGGCTAACTATTTATAGGAGTAGAAAGCCTCATCTTTCTCCTGTTCTGCAAATCTAGTTTTTCTAAAATGAAGTTTCTTTTTAGAAAGTGCAACACACACACACACATAACACACACACACACACACACACACACACACACACACACACACACACACCCCATAATGAAGACATTCCTAAAACTGAAACAAGAGCCCAGACAGAGCATAAGTAACCGAATATATTGCTCCAGGGCAAACAACCAGAGTTTCAAAGTGCATCTTCATAAAATTACCGTATATACTGGTGTATAAGCCGCATTTTTGAGCACATTTTTAATGCTGTTTTGGTGGTAAAATTAGGTGCCTTGGCTGGGTCAGCTTCTACTCGAGTACACATGGTACCTATTGCCTACACAGAGGAACAGCAGAATGACGCAGTGGGGAATCCTGCCTGGTGGGCCCCTCCATAGTCAGGTGGTCTGTGGGAGCGCATCGAAACTGGGACAAGTTGGATCGTGATGCGGTGAGAAGAGCGAGCATCCCAAGCATCCCTGATCCATGGCATCTGTGATGGCTCTGCTAGTGGTGTGTAAGCTGGAGCTCCTCATGAGGACCCATCAGATGAGCTCCAATGGAAAGGCATCCTAGAAAACAATCGACCCGCGTCTTCCATGGCATGAAAGTCAAGGAAGGGCTGAGGAGCTCTTCCAATCTGAAGGCGGTAAAGAGACAAGGCAATCAACTGCAACAATGTGAGTAAGATTTAAAGAATCCATGGTAGTAATGGATCAGTGGGGGTGAGTGGGGGTCTTTGGATGGCCGTGCGATGGGGAGAAAGAATGCACTAGAACACACGGAAGGACTGGGGAAGGGCTGCAGACACTGGATCAGTAATTTACTCTCAAATAATTCGGGGGAGGGGTAGTTTTTAAAAATCATACTTGCAACTTGATATCGCTTCCAAGATCCAAACAAAACAAACATCAACTAAATAATGGACAGCACTGACAGATCTCTAGGGAGTTTAAATCTACTCTTTAAAACATTCATGATCAGACTTGTATCTCAAAAAATCAAACCTCCCGTACAGCTGCTAAACGAAATACCAGATGACTAGCTAGATGCAGGAGAAATAGCTCATGTTCTCCCCTCATCTCTAACTACACAGCCAGTTAGAAAAGTCATTGTTTCCAATCACTCTGTAACTCATTCAACAAATTCAATACGTTCAGAGGGGCCTCCAAACATTTGCGGAAAATCAGAAAAAGATTCTGATTTCTCCATGAATTTTCTGACCTTTTGTACTTGCCGGGTCTCTAGCTACTTGCCCAGTAATATCGTGGGGATTTGTTTAGCTTGCTATGAATGGCTTGGTGCTGAGAATGGCTTACAGATGTGCACCAAATACAGGTATGTGTGGGATAAAGGGTTGTAAGGAATCCTGAGCCCCTCCGATCCCTGCCAGGAACTCTTGCCGGAATCAGCCCAGGTGCTCTGAATGGAGTACTAATCTCTCTCATGTGTGTCTTGACATGAACAGATCAGCAAAGTCTCCTCTAGGGAGCTGGCAGTGTAATACCAGGCAGCAGTCCATGTTGGTGCCACTTCTACAAAAGTCTTGTCGGTGCTGCTGATTCGAGGTAGGGCAGCATGCGTGGCTGTGTGTAGGCACGGGAGAAAGCCATTGCCAACTCAAAGCATACACCAAAACACTAATGGCAACAGCCACAGCCACTCCTAAGAACGTCTGAGGTGAAGAAAGACCGCAACCGTGTTTTTCCTTTTTTTGTAAACCAGTCTAATCAGTTAAAGTAGAAGTGACTCAGTCCAATGAAAACCTTCAGAATTCACCCAAGCTGAACGGAACACCACTCCGGTTCAACTTGTGGGCTCAGAACACCCCAGAACAGTGGTGCCGGCACGAGCAGCACGTGGATCTGAATCCTTCTGAATGAATGGTCCACAACTGCACAGGATGAAGCCCCACAGCTGGAATATTGAGACCAGGAATTCTGGGGGCTGGCATACAAAGCCATTCATAGGACACCTCCAACTTCCACATCTTTTCTCATCTAGTTTACACACCTGAAATAAAAGCTATCTTTTCTTTTGTCCAATTGGACCCCTCATCCCCCTAACAAATGTCCCACACCATGGCTGGCTATGGAGGTATCCATCCCAAGGCAGGCGATGCTGTTCCCTGGCAGGCAGAGACATGGGAGGAGACGCTCCTCGATGTTTCATCTCCCTTCTACCCAATGTCTGAAAACAGATCTATCCCTTTAACAAGCATTCAGTGGGTGCCTGACTTGTCCTGAAGAATGGTGTTCCTCTTCTGGAAAGACTACAGCCACCCCACTACTCTGTAATCCAGTCTTCTCTGTCACAGGAGCGGACACCAGTGTTCTCCAGAATGGGCAATACTGCCTCTGGAGGTGTGCTGCAATGACGCCAAAACAAAACAAAAACACTACCGTATCAAGTCAATTCAGACTCACAGTGACCCTAAAGAAAGTGGTTCTCAACCTTCCTCATGCCGCGACCCTTTCATACAGTCCCTCATGTTGTGTTGACGCCCCCCCCCAACCTTGAAATTATTTTCGTTGCTATTTCATCAGTCATTTTGCTACTGTTATGAATCAGGCGACCCCTGTGAAAGGGTCATTTGACCCCAAAAGGGGTCACGACCCACAGGTTGAGAACTGCTGGTCTAAATGGAATGAATAACATGCGCAGAGGAGCACGTTCAATAAGCTGAGTTGGCACCATCGTGGCAGCAATGGAGACACACATACCAAAGAAGATGAAGGCGGCAGAGAATGAGGCTGGGTCTTTCCTCTCTCTGTTATGCATAAGGTCACCCCAGGCCAGAGCCAACTACAGCAACTCAGAGCCAGCACTAGGGACCTCACAGAAAAAAACCCCAAGCCCCTGCTCTCAGAGGGCTTACCTTCCAGTGGGGGAGATGGCTTGTTAACAAGCAAGACATGCAACAAAACCCAGGTGTAACATACACATTTCAGTGGCATTGAGTGCGACCAGGAAGAGGGCACTGTCTTACCTAAGTTGGTTAGAGAAGACCTAATCTGATCAGGAAACCCCAAGACAGAGATTTGTCTGCAGTTCAGACTGGACCATGAGGCTACATCGTGGAAAGCAACCACAACAACAATTATACTGACAGACACGATTCTTCTGAGGTATTCCTATAAAGCCAAGTGGTTGCCAGGGGTTGTGGACAGTGCAGGAAGGCAAGATCCGGGTCGTAAGAAGACAATCTGA